TTGTAGTATACCCACTTATTTTTTGTCAATCGTTCTGCGCCCAAGTGGATCATGGGGGGTTCATAGCGCTGTGAACACGCGGTAGAGGTGAGCTGCAAGTGCCGGTGTAGCGCGAGTGATATTCTTTGCCCGGCGGGGCCGAACGGGGGGAGCACCTCTCATAGCATGATGTGCCCCCCCGATCTGCCGCCATACTGCCAAGGGGCATCACGGCAAGGGTGTCCTCTGTATAAGTCGCCCGCGCGTCAGAAATGGGAAACCCTCCGCCAACTGGGGTGTATCACTCGTTCTTGCCAAAGGTATCTTCGGTTCATCTTTGCCGTCGTGGTTCACGTAAGCCACTATGGGCTACCCTTTGACCCATGGAAAGCAAGGTTCGCTTGGCGAAAAATACTCTTCCCCTTCTTTTACAGAAAGTTCTTCTAACTTTCTTCTCTTTTAGTAGAAAGTTCTTCTAACTTTCTTTTTTGCCCCTTTGCTTTTTTACTTCGTCATAGATTATTTGAGTGTAATCTTAGAATGAGAGGTACCGTGCGGCGTTTAGTATAAGTTAAGCGTGCGTGTGTGGGATCCCATGCGATTTGTATTAAGTTAATGTATGCGCGCGTGTGTGTGTGTGTGTAATACAAGTTCTTTACTGGATTGTGGTAAAGAACTTGTATTTAGAGTGAGAACTCATTTATCCTTCTGATAAATGAGGTTGCATTTGGAGGGAGGAAGGGATTTGGAGTTAGGGTGGGTCGCTATCGTAGCCACCTCCACGTGGTGTGACCTGGTAATTGGTATAGTTCTCTGAAGGCTTTAAAAAATTTTCAGAGAACTATATCGAGCTAAGAGCTACGATTAGAATTTAATTTAGAATTTAATAGCTACGATTGTTATTTTACTTATAATATATGTATAATATAGTTGTATAGTTTTATACAGTCATATATATAGCTAACCTAACCCAGCCTAATGTAATCTAACCCAACCTATACATTCATAGTTTACAGTGCAATTATAAGAATTTTTGAAAAATTATGTAGAATCATTAAGGTGCCCTCATCAGTCACCGCTGTGTGTACCGGCTAGGTACGGCATTCGTGTACCGGCTAGATACGGCATTGGCAGCAAGCTGTGACGTCAGCTGACGCATGCGCATAAAGCTCTCGCGTGAGATAAAATCTCACGACTGCCCAACACTGGTCCGAATACGCGTATTGCAAAAATTTTACTTTTTAGGTATATTTTGTTCCCTGAAACATTCTAAAGTAAATTTCTATTAACATTCGATGTATTTTATTGCCGATTAAGCTTAAAAAATCAATATTTATTTAATTCGGTTCAAAAATGTACAATTGGCGCCATTTAGCAGTGAACGACGGAACTACAAAAGACAATTGTAATATTCTGCAAAATTAGTGCATTTTATGCATTTCTGTGGCTAAAATATTTCTCTGGAATCTTTTTTGAATTGAAATAATATTACAAGAACCTCCTCAGTGTGTTAGAAGCGAAAATAAAAATTAAATTAATTTTCTACTTCGATGGCGCCAGAGGTACTCTTCTCAGAAATTGCGCGCGCAAATTCGAATTTGTAGAACATTACTGATGATACTTCCAATACTATCCTCTTTACAAATTAATTACTCTATAATTGAAAATCATTCTTTTATATTTTCTAGCAAATTAAATGACTACCTAAACTCCATAGCTTCCTATACTTAATTTGTATATTTCTAAATTACCAAACTCCTATACATATAAATTCGAAAATTAAACTAACTGTTCTAATCCTCTTAACTTAAAACAAGTGAATAAAAACAAAGTATTTCCTTTATCTGACTAAAATACATTCTAAGATCTAATATGCAATGCCACCTATAACTCAGTAAAAACGCTTCTACTTTCTAACCAAAAATCTACTCATGCCTTTATACTGTGGCATATAAGTATGTGTTTATAATATGTTTAGTTTATTACAGCTTATGGACACTGTATAGAGTTAAAAGATTCTGATATACCAGTAAAACATGTTACGATTATCTGTTAATCTTAGTCGAGAACTGTTACGTTCATCTAAAAATGTTCAGGTAATTCCTGGGTACAAATTAAGGTTATGACCTCATTTTAATTCAAACTTCTGCTAGTTGTAATATTTAACATAAAAGTGTAACTTTTGTTTTAGAAATTAACGCGGTGTAAATTCAGTCGTCTTGCATATAATACGACGAATGTTTCTTTGAGAACTAATGTTCTCTTCAATGTGCATAAACATTCGAGAGTTCCCACAATTTATATCATACGGTTTCAAAGCACAGTTGATTCAAAGGCAGAGACGATTGCAACGAATACGCAAGAAAATGTAACCTCTCGTAAGTTTTTTACTTTATGCATCATGTACAATTATTGAGTTACATTTATGTTTAATTGTCTTCTGCAGCTGCACCTGCGCCACAAGACACGATAGGAAGTGCAAAGACCACAGAAACGAGTCAAAGTTTTATAAGTGAAATACCAGGTGCAATGATTTGATACTTGTTTTAATAAATATTAAGGTGAATATGTGACTATAAACAAATGCTTACATGCTGTGTACAGATGCACCTATTCCTCCACCAAGCGAGGAAGTGACAAGTGCCGTTGCTGACATACTAACCGCGACTGGTGAGCCTACGTTTACAAGCTTAGGTTTAGGAGGATATGGACCAGTTGGTATTGCTGAGTACGCTTTAGAGATGCTACATGTTTCTTGTGGTCTTCCATGGTGGGCAGCAATCAGTTTACTCACTATAATTGTAAAACTCCTTACAATTCCACCTACGATAAGCATGACTAGGAACAATGTGAGAATGTGTAACATCATGCCACGCGTGGCAGAATTACAAGAAAAAATGTCAATGGCAAGACGAGAAGGAAATGCGGAAGAGGGTATGAAGTAATAGTGTATTGAAATACACTAATATTAAAAGATTAACTCTTCTTTTATTTGCAGCTTCTATCACTGCTTATGAATTACAGCATCTTCTTAAAGAAAATAAGGTCAGCGCCTTTCCATTCTTCAATGCATTTTTTAGAGTACGTATATTAATGCATTAACCAGTACAAGAAGTAATTTTAAACTTCAAAAGATATTTGGCGGTTCAATTAATTATTAATATTTATTTTGAAATATTTATTAGATTATACTACATATACCAATATTCATAGCCTTGAGAGAAATGGCCCTTTTACCGGTTGAAAGTTTAAAGACTGGTGGACTTTGGTGGTTCACAGATCTAACTGTTCCTGATCCATATTATGTATTACCAATATTTACCAGCATAGGACTGTATATAGTCACTGAACATACATTGAGAAGTGGTGCTGTTGCTAATCCATCTCCAACAATCCGATATTTAATGAGAGGAGTACCCATTATTACATTTCTCTTTGGAATACATTTTCCAGGGGTAAGATTGTTCTATTTTTTATTCATTTATTTTCTTAGTGTAAATATTAAAATGTGCACATTCTTTCAGTCTGTTTTATGTTACTGGGTTCTTTCAAACTTCATAACCATAGCACAAAATGAAATTTTAAGAAATAACAAAGTTAAACTATTCTTCAATATTCCACTTCCTGTGCAGCACAAAACAATCGTTACTGACGGCGTTTTAAAGAAGAAAAAGTTTAAGGAGTCATTCACTGAGTGTAATTTCAAATAAATATACTAGGTATCGCGAAATCTTTAAATATATTAAATAAAATACTTTTTTCAGCTTGGACTAATATGAAAATATCTAAGAAAATGGCAAATCGCCTTCGTGCAGACGAATTGCAATTCAATCAAGCTGGGAAAGGTCCCATAGTAAGAACATTCAAATATAATCCAGTAACACAACAGTCAGCAAAGTCGGCTTCAGCAATAAAGAAATAATATTAGACAATTGTTATATATGTTTTATACAAAGTGTGTAATGTGAAGTCAGATAGTAAATAACATAACTGTTAAAGAAAATATCTGCAACAAAAACTTTTAATTGATATCCTCATACAGAATATACCATGAAACCTCTTAGATGGAAGTTTAATCTTGCAGTCATTTGTACATAAACACTAAAAATGCTGACACAATAAAAAAGTTTACAGAAACCAAATTGTTATGATCATAGAACAGTCGTCCATTTAATTGAACAAAAATAAAATTTATAATATAAGTATTTTCATTACAAAAGGGTATTGTATTTTAAACAATATATAATAGAAATTATCATCTCCAATATCAGGTTGACTTCAAAAGAATATCGACAATAAGTATTGGGTTAATTAACTAAATATACATATATACATTACATTATTACTGGCACTTAATTCCTATACACTGATTAATTACTTCAAGCAAATGAGTATTTTCAAGAGCAGCAGCTACTCTTTCCTTGTCAGCCAACTGTTTATTTACTGCCGCTTCTGACAAGTGCGTACCTGGTGTAATCTCTACACTAACTTTAAATCTAGATGGCAAAACTCTCAGAAGTTGTACCCGAATTGACAAACCAATTAACGTTGCCATACTGCAATGCGGTATTGTTGGTGTAAACTTTACATGAACTTTGTTTGCTTTATTATCTAACTGAAATAAAAAAGAACACAAATGAATCAGCGCAAACACACAACTGATGCATTTAAATTACCTCAATGAGACCTTGCTCCACTACATTTAGTTCTTCCAAAGTTAAGGGATGCTCAGGATCATTTATATTCCTAATGAGATCTATAAATCAAATATAATTGAATAACAATACTAAGAAATGAGGTTAATAATTAATACACACCGAAAATCTCGCGTTCATCAAATTCATCTTCAACATCTTCATCCTCATCCTGTGCAGTAACTTGTCTATCATTTATTTTCTTATATAATTTAGGGTTAATATTCTCTAAAGTCTCGGTCATGTTATCACGCAAAAAATACGTTCTGTTTTACAAAGTATACATAATTCAATGTTTACCTATACGTTTTACTAGTAGTCGCCATTAGAAAAACCTAACCTAGCCTATATACCTCTGTTTATAAAAAAATATGAACAGATTTTAAAAATTAAATAAGATCTAGCATTTTGATTGGTGAATATCATACAAAAAGTATGACACAACTATTCAGAGTTTGTAACTATATTTTAAAAGATGAAGTCTTCTCTAAGCAAATAATGCTTACTTTGACTACGGATTGGGGTGAGCGCTTTTACGGTGGAAACACCAAAGGTTTAGTTGAACTCTACCCTACAAAATTTTAGGGTAGCGTTCAATTGGGTTCGGTGGAAACGACAAGAGTCGAGTTCGTGCTGCCAACATAACAAATCCAAATTGCATTGTGTATCACGTGTTGTATTAATCGGTGTAAAAGAGGTTATTATTACTTTTTGTCGGTGATCTTGTAATCTGAGAAATAATTTTTGTATGTTATTATGATATTGTAAAATTAATATTGCTCTCCTTTACATGTCAGAATATGGTAGTTGACTTTGTGCAGTTGGTAATGTTCAACCCTGCCGCAACTCCAACCCGCGACTCAAACCCGACTCTAACCCGACTCTGACCCGATTTGAACCCTCGATGGAAACGTACTCTATAAAACTGAACGAAGTCAGCTTGACAAGTGAGACAGATTTCTAACAATAAAACCTCTCTATAACTTGTTTGCGCTTTTATGGTCATGTATAGAGTGGTACTGAATAAATGACCGGCAAGAACCGGTAACGATGTGGAAAATGCACAATAAAAAATTAAAGAAACACTGTACTTTTTTAATACATTCTTACAATATGGAATAAGTAAAAAAACTAATACTTAATGAGCGAAACGTGTCATAATCAACAAGAATTAAAAATCATGAAATTTTCTGTCCACTGAGTACATACTTCCGGCAATACGATCGTCATAACTGCGCATGAGCGTTGGTCACAGATTACAAAATATGTAGAATGCAACAGAGTAGATGCGCAGAAAGGACTGCACACTTGTCGCTTAGTTAGTGCAATCCGTCGTAGAAGAGCGTATAATTTCTACAGTTTCTATACTGTGTTTATTCAAAAAAGCATTCGGGACATTTCTATGTCAGTACTGTAGTTGGACAATCGTGATTTGAGCATGCGCTGATACTCGTTTCTTTAGCCATTCTGAATGTGGGGTCAGCGGTAATCGTTGTTCATGATTAGTTACATTACAGTGTTAGACTACAGTAGTGTAATTTTTGGAGAATTACACGATTCTTGTATCATGTGCTCCTATTGATATTGCATTTGGAATGCGCGGGACGTTGAGACAAACTCGACACGTAACATTTATTCGCTTCACCGACTGATCAATTGTGAAACCTTTTAACAAAGATTTCTACTTGCTCATAAGAGACTACAAAATTACATTTCAGTATATATATATATATATATATATATACATATACATATTATATATATAAGCGTGTATGTGTACACATATACGGTGTCGTATTTCATCGTGCAAGTTCTATCAAATATTGGATAACAAACTTTTTTTAATGGAATGAGAGGTGTGTCACTAAATGAGGTATGTGAAGTGAACAGAAGTGATATTACATTGTTGAAATATAGTGATGGGTTTACAATAATATAGTTGTAATTGTTAAAACTGTACAAATCGAACATCTGGACAGTTCTATAAACATAACTATATTTTTGAAATAAATTTTGGTAAATTGTTGAGTAATTATGTACAAATGTACGTGTATATAAGTATGCATATATACGCGAACAAGAAAAGAAAAAATTTTAATCTTATACCGCGAAATTCTTGTTCACGGCAGACATGTCGACATAATGGCGTCAATGTTCTCTTCGACTATAGATAACTGGATTCTACATTCTCTACTCTACATGTCGCAATAAAACATTAAATGAGCCACGTGACCTTCCTTAATCACGCGGTATGTTCTGAAAGCCGGGTCCAAAACTTGCCCTGAACAAGTTCTATTCCATTTTGTGACAAGTGGTTACCTACGCAGGCAAATAAATAGTGTACGATTGTAATTGCATTCTTCTACAATGTAACTGTAATACTGTATTTAGAAAGAATAGTTTTTAACACGCGCAAGTATTATTAAATCACTTAGTGTACAATTATTGTATATGTACAATTTGTGAAATTGGAGTTTTCATTTAAGTGTTTATATCACATAAAAATCATACTTATTGTTCAAGTTATATTCATAACTTGAATTGCTAATTAAATAATTTCAATTATAGTTGAATTCCTTGTGTCAGATAATAAGTACAGTGAAATAAGAATATATTAGTGGATTTTTAAATTTATTTGACTTGAAAATTTTGAAGCTAGACATACAATATTTATGCACTAAACTATTGTTATATTACTTTAAAATAAATTACAGTAATTTAAGGACTACATAATGATTATTACATATTGTTTATTATTAGTGATAAACACATAAGTTATATTCAAATTTATTGTTATTAAAAACATTACTTAGAAAATGAATCTTATATTATTTTGATATATTCTTTACATATAGATATGAAGAATATGATGAAAATGATGTGTACATTATTCTTAGTCTTAAAGAAATATTATAACAAAATTAATGAATTAACTTTATTGTTCAAATAACATATAAGTATACAAATATCATATTGATATAATATTTTTATAATTACAGACAAATGTGTGGTAGCGCTGACAACGTATCACCAGCATACCCATTGCAGTTAAACAACTAAAGAAGAAGACGACCATCAAAATTTCCATAAGACCCAGGGTGTGGTTTTAGTACCATTTTATTCTACATAAAATGGCGGAGGAGTGCAATGATGTTAAGTCGGCAGGTCCGTCTTCACCGAGAAGTCCACAAAACAGCAATGCAGGGGGGAAACCAAGCAGTCCACATTCTCCCAGGCAACCGAGGCGCGTAAAGCTAACACAGCAACAGTTGGACAGCATGACAAAGGACGAGCTAGCATCCAAGTGGCATGAACAGGACTTGTATGTGGAGTGTCTAGAGGCCCAGGCGGCAGCCCAGGAAGGTACTGAGATCACATGAGTGAGACCACCTTACTCACCACATTTCTTAAACGAATTTATGAATGCCAGAACACAACGGTCTCTTGTATGAGACAAGACTCTTATAGGGACACTAAGATTAGGGACCAAGCGTTTTATTACTGAAGTGTTTAGGTTAATGCTAATGCTAAGTTTTTTTATAAGTCTTAAAATTTGAAATAAGTAAATAACGTAATAACAGGTGGAACCCTTAAAACCTTTCTTTTTTTTTGACATTGATAAGCGAACTGCAATTGTAGAAAACTTATGTATTGATAGAAATATTGAATGGATCTATTTGGTAATAGACTTCTTAGATGCAGGCTAGTGATATAGTAATATTGTAATAATTTCGAAAACTACATTTGTGATGTGTAGTGCGGGTAATCGAATTAACGCCAATATGTACAGTGTTTGAAATTTTTTCGGTGAGCAGAAGTGATGTGCTGGTCATATATACCACATATTCAAGAGAATCTGATTTTATGCAATCAATCCTATTATCCGGTGTATAAGTTGCGCTACTCTTGATATCAAAAATCACTTAATGCTTAAGGCAAAGTGCATACCGAAAGAAAAAGTGATATTGTGTGACAAGAAGAGATGACAAGGTTCCTTGAATGTGTTCTCTATGAATCATTTCTTTCACTGTAAAAAAACACACACGGCTTACTTTTAATACGAGCTTGTAAGTGACTGTGCAGTGTGCCACGTATCATTCTGCAGTGTAGTAAATCACACTGCCAGAAGCAAAACAGTGCGTGTGTGTTTGTGTGTACATTGGATATCAAGTTTCCACTTTGCGAGGATTGAATGAAATACAACATCCTTGCTGGCTCTGAATTATCAGCTTAGAAGAGTAAAATCAGAGGCCCTATGTCATCCTTTGGCCCACAAAACACTGTGCCAGGGGTGCGTGAACCCAAGTCTTGGTGAAGTACGAAACCTTTAATTGATGCAGTTACAATCTGAAATTCCAGCTGCTTTATCCAATCCTAATAATTCTGATCCCAATCTACATATCTTCAATATCATTTTATATTTAGATATGTTTGATAAAACTGAACAATTTTAATTATGTTCCTAGACATCCATCCCTGTTTATTCCCATTATGAACACGATTCATGCATGCATTTGTACCTGCACCATAACTTCCTGATGTCCAAATATCCAGTCAGAAAAATACAAACCTGATTGAATAAGGCCAGGAGGTCATCTTGTGACAGCATCTGTGTCTGCAACAAGTAGTCTGTCTATTCTGATGGAAGAAAAATAACGTCCACTCTTGGTCTCGGTGGAAGCACAGAGAATCTCACAAATGGCACGATGCAACAACTTCAAATTCAAAGTATGCGCTAATTAAAAATGTCAATTGTCAGGCAGTCAATGTCACATACATATAAAAACATATTTTGTTGATGCACACTTAGGGCAAAACAGTATGTAGTAGATTTTCACCACTATGCTTTATTTCACCAAAAATATACTATTATAATATATAAAAAAGAAGTACAGAATATTCTGTATGATTATACTACATGTATATATACCTTAAGGTTTTAAGCTTTCTATGTGTCTCATAAATTTGAATAGCTGTGTAATCTGGAAAACAATATTATGAAATGAGTAATCTTTCCATTATGTAACTTTAATAACTAATATGTTTGTACATCTTATAAGTATTATGCAAATTTGATTAAGAATAAGGGATACAAACAGGTTGATCTTATAGATCTTAAATTTAACTATGCAATAACAATTTTTAATTTGATCTTAAGCACATAAATGATTTAGTAATTTCATTGATTTTTTGATAATTCAGTTTGCAATATTTTAAACATAATATTTCTGTGAAATAATGTTGCAAAGGCACTAAGTTACCAGTATGTCTGTTCATAAAGTTTAAAATTATGTTTCATTATATTGTAATTAATTATATATTACCTCTATAATATTATTTGTAAATAAAGAGATATCAGAAAAGTGTTCATTAAAGTTAGTTAAAATGTGCAAGTACTATATTTAAATTGTTTATATATTTCTGTGTAATATCATTTTATGAAAATAATAATAAAAAATGTGTAACAAATTAATGAAGCACATAGACAGCTTTAAACAATAAAGATTCAATTAAAAAAGGAAATGAAATAATTTTTCTTTATAGGTGAGCTATCATCATTGAGAGAATCAGAAAATAAATATAGACAACAACATGCAGAAGCATCTCATAGAGAGAAGATCTTAGTAAGAAGACTTGCTTCTAAAGAGCAAGAATTACAAGAATATATTGTATGTAGATCTTTTTTTTTACTTAGTAAATTATCAACACTATTAAAAAAATTTTAATATAAATGTTTAAATTCGTTTATTTTTAGAATCAGATTGCTGAAATGAAAGCTGCTCACGCTCCGTCCACTGCTGCGTTAAGATCCGCTTTATTAGATCCAGCTGTTAATATTTTAATTCAAAAATTAAGACAGGAGCTTGTCACAACTAAAGCCAAATTAGAGGACACACAAAATGAACTTAGCGCATGGAAGTTTACACCGGACAGGTATAAAATAAATAACAGTGTCTCTCATAATGAAAATAAATTGCAAATCTTTATTTTTAAATATCTTACGCATATTATATTTATTTTTAGCAATACCGGTAAAAGATTAATGGCAAAATGTAGACTGTTGTATCAAGAAAATGAGGAATTAGGTCGTATGATTGCTAGTGGACGTATTGCTAAGCTAGAAGGAGATCTTGCACTCCAAAGAAGTTTTAGCGAAGAAATGAAGAAATCTCAGTCAGGTATTATTTCTTTACGTTATTAAAATAATGTAGTTAATATTCTTTTATCGCCGCCTTTTCTTTTACAGAATTAGATGAATTTTTGCAAGACCTGGACGAGGACGTAGAAGGAATGCAGAGTACGATTTATTTCTTACAGCAGGAATTGCGTAAAGCTCGCGAGTCAGTAACGTTATTGCAGCAAGAGAACGCGGCACTGAAAGCAAATTCAAACGAAAATAATTTGACAAACGGTCTGTCTCCTCATACGCCACCCATAAAGAAGGAGGAGTTAGAGGAAAATACAATTTCGGAAACAAAGACTTCGAAATCGATGGAAGATAGTGATGTGTGCAAAGGTGCTAGGACTCCACCGTTATCGTCGCAACGATCACCCCAGTGTGAATTCTCAAATACCGAAAGAACAGAACGACTAGAACGAAAACCTAATCAAGCAGATCACAACGATGAAAGCTCAAGTGATTCGGCTGCTTTGATTATCAAAGTTGAGAACGAGGAATTAAGTGATAGGGAAGAAGAACAAGAAGAAAATCGTAATAACAAAAGGATATTAAGGAGTAAAAGTCATAATAGAAGTAACAGTAAAACTAATGGGGAAGAGGTGCTAACTAGAACAACAAGGGGTAGGGATAGGACCAAAAGGGACAAAAGTGCACCGGGTAGTGATGATGAAAGGACACACAAGAAAAAAAGAAGAGAGAGCATCCTTTCTCTTGATTACAACGAAGCCGACGATGACGCGTTAGTTCTAACTAATGGTGAGACTCTTCAGAGCGATCCGGAATAAAACTTTTCTAAAATGATTTTATACACATAACACGTGCTACGTATAAACAGGGCTTAGCGTGACTTAGTACACAACACAGATCAAATCTAGTACTCTATATTTTTTTATTATTTAAAAACTGTAATATGGAAACGCTACAGTAAACTTTGTTTCTAATTATTTTTCATCATGTTTCATAATGCGTATTTGTAAATATGTTTTTTATTTGAATACATGTAAGTCACGTTAATGCCAAGGGAAGTACATTTAATTTCGTATAATTATGTGTACACAAAATTACGTGACGTTGGAATAAAGGGGTAAATAGTTAAAACTATTTTTTTGCAATTGAATCATAATAAATTTTGTAATAAGTATTAATTATTATAAAACAAAATGTTTCAATATTTCTAAACGGTTTTTATAAATTCGTTAAAATATTGAAACTGATACATTTTGTTAGATTTTTGAGGCAGTTGCAAAGAATATAAACAATAAAGTAATAATTAGAGCTATGCCTTTTCTATTATGTAAATACACAAATGTTAATATTTGGTACACGACGACGCACATACGTAGATTTATACACGATTATGTGCGCAACGATTTGTATGTATGTATTGTTTTTTCGATTGCGAGACACGCGCGTTGACATTCGTTATTAATGCATAAAATGTGCTTTTAATTCTGTATAATAAAATAAGATCTATTTGTTAGATTTACTAAATACCTGTAAATTGTACGAAATACAAGATGACATTAATTTCAGTAAAATACGTAGACTGATCTCACAGATCACATAACATCACATTTGTATTTCTTATTTTTTTTCAAGGACAAATGTACAAAATATTGCTATTTTATATTACCCTTATACAAAACGTACGTTCTTTTATACCATTTTCTGTAACAGCTAATTTCTTTCAGCTTTTTCTCACCATTTTGATATGTAATTATTACAAATTTAAACATTACTTCATATGTGGAATACATATATATTTTTTTTAATATTATCAACCAAATATAAGTAGTGCATAATTCAGTTCCGAATATGTTTCATATAAACTTATTGTTACTGTTGTACATACAGTGTGTGATTTATTAAAGATCTCTTTTCGAAATATAAATTCGTTTACAACGATAATAATAGGTATATCAAATATTTCATTTATTGATATTGCACCTATAGATATCTTATCGTTTAAAAGTTAACACATAAGAAACATCGAATTTTTAGTGCAATTCAAATATAAAACTACTAATAAGATTTTCATTTTCAACGTCTTATTTGTATAGATAAATGTAGGAGGAAAAGTATCTCATTTACTTTCGAGCGTGGAGAATCAAATATGTAAACATAAGAACCTTCAAATCTTCAGGTTTCTAAATTCTCGAATTTCTAAATTTAAAAGATTGTAAATGTTGAAAATAATACGTGTATTATACATTTTTAAACACATGGCCTCATCCAAGGTCGTATAGCTAGACCTCGCTGTATTCAATAACTGTTCAAAATTATCAATATTGTTAAATTTATTTTTATGATAAAATACGGTGGTGTACAAATTGAAATAAAAGTTAATCAAGTATTTTACAAATACGAAGACATTTTCTTGATATGTAATCATACTACCAGTAGAATAAATCGTGCTGCAGAAGTGGAATCTGAGCAGTTGGTAGTGCGCTCCATTTTCCGGCACTCTCTGGCATTGCGTAGCATTGAGAGATTCGAAGCTGTTCGGGAAGGGTGTACGAAATTAAACTCTACGTTTTGACTTTTTTAATAAATAACAGTTTTATTCCTTTACATTGCAACAATGTTTGCGGCAAAGAGAGCTCTTTTATCCACTACAGTGTAAGTTTATTTCATTTTTTATTTAAAATTGCGGTATAATTGATATTATATAATTTCTAACCTATCCCTTTTCTCCTTATTTGACATAGTTTTTGAATTTTATTAATACGATGACATTATGTTTAATTCTGTACAAAACTAAAATTTTGTATTTTAAAATATAATTGTAAAAATGATATTCAAATTCAAAATTGCATGTTCTTCGAGTATAACATTTATTTCTCCTAATTAAATTTATGGATATTTGTATAGTAGCGATATTATTAAAGGTTTGTTAACGATATTTTGTGACAAATATTTTATGTATCTGTCCAAATTTGGAGAGTTTGAATTAACAGAAAAAAAAGTGTTTCAGAGATATGTGTATATATAAATTGTCTAAATTAAGCATAAATACAAAAAACACGTATAAAATTGTAGTTAGACCTTTGGCATAAGATAAGCACCTTGTCAATATGTTTGATTAACACCATATCTGTAGCCAAAATGTTTAATCATTATTGAAACATGCAAATTAAAAAAACATTTCATATTGTGAATATGATAATATTTATCTGTGAACAACAAACTGTTTTGCAGATATAATATAAAATATAAATGTCTTGAATATAATGCAAATTATAATTTATATTTGGGTATAGTTTATTTTGTTACATGTATTATATAAATTAAACAAAAATTTTAAATGATAGTTCTTTAGAAAAGTTATTTCACTCCTTACTTTATTTTAAAGATACATAAATATTATTAATTGATATTAAATGATGTTAAAAGCTAAATATATTTATATAATTTTTGTTTATTTTTGAAAGATAATAAAATGGAAACAGATTTACAGAATTTTTAAATGTTGTTATTTTTTTTTTAGGAAAGATGTATTTGTGAGGGCAAAACATGTACTTCCTGATTTACCTTATGACTATAAAGCATTGGAACCTATTATATGCGCTGAAATAATGGAACTTCATCATAAAAAACATCATGCAACTTATGTAAATAATTTGAATGTTGCTGAAGAAAAAATGAAAGAAGCTGTTTCCAAAGGCGATGTTACTGCTCAAATTGCATTAGCACCTGCTATCAAATTCAATGGAGGTGGTCATGTGAATCATTCTATTTTCTGGTGTAACCTTACTCCAAATACTGAAAAACCAGATAGTAAGTATATTATTCAAAAAGAAAATTTTGCTAGAGATTTATTTGAACTTAGACAAAGAACAGTAGATGACATTTAATGTAAACTGCAGAGTCAAGGAAGTAAACTATTTTGATTTGCTTTACAAAATATGTAACTTTCAACTTTTCTTTTTACTATTTTTAATATGTGTTTTTTGTAAACGTACTTAAACTGTATTTTGTAACAGGTGCGCTACTCAATCAAATTAAAAAGGACTTTAACAGCTTGGAAGAAATGAAAAAGCGATTATCTGAAATGACTGTTGCAATTCAAGGATCCGGTTGGGGTTGGCTTGGATATTGTCAAAAATCAAAATGTTTAAAGTTAGCCACTTGTGCTAACCAAGATCCATTACAAGGTACAACTGGTTTGGTGCCTCTTCTTGGCATTGATGTTTGGGAACATGCTTACTATTTACAATACAAAAATGTTCGCCCGGATTACGTTAAGGCAATCTTTGATATTGTTAACTGGAGCGACGTCAGTGCTCGTTTCAAAGCAGCTGCTGGCTGTTAAAGCATGAATGCCTAACGATTGAATCTAAGTATAGCATTAAAAGTGACTTTTACTTAGTAGGGATCTTTTTTGAGAAATAATTTTATATTTTCCATTGTTCCATTTGTCTTAAATAGACACTGTGATTTTGTATACACCTATTTCATAAGTATATGTAGATACCATGCACATCTGTAATATTGAACAGAGGGCTAATAAAATCCTTGTAAAAAATTATCTGTTTATATATAGAATTCGTACGGAATAAAAAAAATTACATTACTTCTACTAACTTTTTAAATAATGTACTGGAAGTACCGATTTTTAAAAAAAGTATTGTATTTTATTTTTGAAAAAACTTGTTGTCACTCGTTTTTTATTGCATGCATATAACTGCCATGTAAAAATAATACTTTATATTCTTCTAAAAAATTTGTTCATTGTTTATATTTTATTTTCGTTTACAAGGAATTGTTGGTAATACAAATTATTTATTTTCAATAAAATACATCACAATGTAACTTAATGTATTTTTTACTGCACTGAAGAACTATATACCAGCCTTAATTTTTATAACGAATTTATCGTCACGAGATAGTTCTAATTTCAAATTTAATTTTAAATTTTGGCGCGCAAGTGGAGGCGCGCAATTCGAATTATCATACATCGATAACCATCGAATTATGATTAGATCAATTTTCATTTGTCACGACAGTGCATTGAAAATATTACAGCAAGTGTCGCGACAATCCACGAAGACATCAGCGCCACACGGTTAGTAAGCTGCACAAGCGAGTGTTGAGAAAGAAGAAAAAGACATCTAATCCGCGCCTTTGGTAATCGATCGGTTAAAGTCGAGTCGCCTCGCGTCGCGTCGCGAGAACACGCCGTTGTCTCGAGGAACGTAGCGGAACCAGAACCAGTATGGCCGGAGGACCTCAGCTGTTTTCACGTCACTGCCTACGTATCTAGTGAGTCAAAAGCATTCTTGTCATTTTAAACGCTAGTAGTAAACGCACGTTTCATTGTAATCGCACGAGAGAGCATTATCTTCGTAGCTGTTATGAAATTTTGCTCGCATGTAATACGTCCCGTATCACAACCATTGTCTACGCCACAAATTAATTTCTTATTTACCTCGTTATCTGCAGTAGATGCGTGCAATCTTAGTCAGACAGACACTTTTTAAATCCTTCTTTTCCTTCTATTCTTTCGTTCTAATGTATGACTCGTTGTTAACTTGGTTAGTTTTTGCACGATGACAGTTCGAGAATGTACTATGCAGATCGTAGTAAAATTCTTATATCGATATTAAATAGAAGTATAATAAAACTAAGTATTTCCTTCATGTATCAGTTACTGTATTTAATTTGAACTTCATGAATGTTTCAATAGTTTAGATTTCTGTCATAATTGTTGTTATAAGATTTTTTTTTAAGCTCATTTTTCTATGGTACAGAGGGTACATGCTTGAAAGATTTCATTATTTATTTCGTCTACCAGCTTTCGATATTTTTTGACGTTTGTACAAACGTCAAATATTGTATAATTTTGTGCGACTCAATTTGCGATCAATCAATTACATCTGTAGCACGTTTCGAATGTTTCACTATGTTAGTGTACTACCAAAAGTGTTAATTACGATCGAAGGTGGCGCTTTCTCGTCGACGCACGTTTGCATCCCAAGACTTTTTTACTGGCGACATGTAAAGTTGTTTGATGGCGTATTTTTACCCGAACACATTTAGGTTGCGAATCATGTAGGAAAACTAACACGAATGCCCAGTGAGGGTTTTTCGGAATTAGAGCATACGAGTGCAATCTCATGGAAGGTTGACGCTGAAAAGATCGCGAAGCATAAATTAAACCTTTACGCCGGAGCAAGTTCGTTACGAACGTGTTAATAGAAATTGGCTTTCGAGTATCTACCCCCCGTTCGATTCAATAACCAGAATCTTCGGAAATAAAATTTAATCGCTATTTACAAAATTTTTATTTGATATTTACAAAATACAACATTGTTAATTCAGTAAGTCAGATAAATCCAATTATTTGTTCGTACCACTGGAATTATTAAAAACGTGGTGCATCGAGCACCTCGTTTATTAGTACATTACTGTTTTATAATTTTAAATTGCACGTATTTTTAATTAAAGCTCGTTGATTAAACTCGACTTATTTATGCAATAATTAACAGGTGTTAATTTTAATGAATAAATTAATATATTTGAATATGTACTAGCAGACATGATGTGCAAAATTTGACATGACAATTCAGTAAAATATTACTTATACTTTTATGAAAATCAGATTAGCCGAATTGAAAATGTGTTGTCATTTTCAAGCAATGCTACTCTGCTGTTCTCTTTGAGTCTGCACGACCTAAACTGATTGTTGTCTTTAAGTACTTCATTTTGACATTTAATGTATTTACGTCCTTAATATTTTACATCGAAAAATTTGGAAGTGTTTCAAGGGTCATAATTTCAATGTGATAGAACTTGACCAAGAACATGAATCATCGTTTGAAAAATGGGGTATAATCCTTAATGTAGGGAACGTTCCGGAATCGATGCGTTACCGGAAGTAGAATGGCGCATCTCACGAGTTTGAATAAATTTGCGATCGAAGTTTGAAAGATATTTATTAAATCTGATCAAAGATACGTAGGTGGTATCGTCGACATCGTGGATATCTTTACTTATTGATTGCCCCGTAGAAATTGGCCGGCGCCGCCCGCGTCGCATCGGTCGATCGTCGGGTTGCAGGCTGACGTCATCGTGGTGGCTCTACGCCTATTGATTTTCTCCTCTAGGTGCGATGCGATTGGTCCATAAACGGAGAAAGCGGGCATGCACACGACCCTGGACCACGATGTCGATCGGCGCGCGCAACCGACACTGTTCACGGGGTCGCCATATTGCTTTCAACCACCTACCACCAGGGGCGTATCTAGAAGCCCTATTTAGGGGGATAATTATACACGTGTAAAATCATATTCTTTTTTTCATTAACATCCATAACATTAATAATTCACGAGAATATTATATAAATGAAAACATATTGTTATTTATTTATGCGAAGGTATATGGAAAACTCAATGTTAGTACTAGGTAGGGTTAAGGTTAGGTGCCAAGTTAGGTTAGAATTAAGGTTAATTAGACTTGAGGTTAAAGGGTTTATATTGCAGTAAATGTTAAGTTAGGTTAACGTTAGAATTAAGATCAAGATTAAATTAAAATTAAAAATCTTGGAGGTGGATTAGGTTAAAATGATTAGGTTAGGTCTACTGAGGTTAGGTTTATTTCTACTAGGTTAGATTAAATTAATTCATATTAAATTAGGTTAGCTATTATTTAGTTTAGATATGTTTATATGAGGTAATGCAAATATTTTGTTACACAGTATAATTCTACAGCAATTAAAATTAGTAGTGTTTCTACGAATAACAAAATTGATAATATAATTATAGTATTATTAGAAGCACTGATATAAAGTGGTTAACGCTTTATGATTCTGCAGTGGCTTATTGCCCCCTTTATGGATCCGGCACTGACTGCCACCATGCACTACCGGTTTCGATTCTACTCTACTTTTCGAAGGCGAATTCCTATTGAACAACCATTCCGCGTGCATATCTTCACCACTTCGGATCGATCAGTTGAATGCATATTTTTAAGCGCAGGTCGCTGGAACGATGTACTTTTATCTATTTAGCGGATCTCAGCAAATTTTCATTCGGGTCTTTTTCATGAAATTACGTAGGTTATATAAAAATTATAATTTCCAATAGAACGCATTCAAATTGTACTCGAGTGCTTATAACCTCAATTGTCATACGTTTATTGCTGTGCTATGGCACTCAAAAAAAATTCCAACTATCCTTTACAGTTAAAATATGTTAATAATTTATTGTTTCGGTTTGCTCAGGTTCGGCTTTTAATGTTTCTTTATAAAAGAAGCACGTCTGATGTATGGACTGCTACGACATATTTCTTCTACGTGACTTTCGAAACGTTCGCGGTATCTCGTACTGAACAAAATAATAATTCTCTAATGGCGGATGCTGAATTAAAGTATGTCAAATGTGGTGGCATTATTTATGAAATTTATACGAAGTTCAAGCCTGTGCCAAAGTTTTTGAATTCCGCATTTAAATTTGAAGTACTTTCAATATTATTTCGAATGGTAAACTGGGTTGAACGTTTTCTACCGTTGGATATGTGCTTTACTTTAATCACTTAAAAGTAATGTACACGCGAAACGGCATCGCAGTGATTCTTTGAAACGGAATTCTTCTCGGTGATAATCAAGACTGATGTGTTTATGATCATTTTATGATAATTACTGTCCCTGGTGATATTACTAGGGAAATTAGGGCAATTGCATTAGAAAAAAGAAAATGCCTATTACTTTTTTTCGATATTATTTCTCGTAGTCACTATTTTCGGATAACGCGTTGTAACGAGTAATTAACGAATGAATCCAAAGCAGGCTGTTACCGAGGCAACAAATTATAGAAAATTATCTGGCTAACCTACCATTACGTTGAATAATTCCTAGGTATAGAAGGATAATTTGCACGGAAATTTTCTGTGCAAGGTGAGGGGAACATAGAATTACGGATGGTAATTATTGTCTAATATAGTGGAGGGTTTATTTTATATATTCATTTTTTTTTTTAATTGTCTATGCAGTGTTAAGTAATTAAAGGTTAATGAATGTATTTTTTAATGGTTCTTTGTGAACAGTGATGACTTGGTCCGTTAATTACGATGGTGGTTAATTATTTTTTAATTGCATTCGCGGTTCAATTCCGTGATATTTTGACTTGACATTATACAATTCGACGAATTCAAGTCATGTGAATTCAATTTTGAGCGATTCAATTCCATGCAATTCAATTTCACGCAATTTAATTCCATATGCTTTAGTGCCACTAACTTCAATTCTACGTGATTAAATTACCACATAATTTAATTTCAAGTAATTCAATTCCATATGATTCAATTTCGTGCAATTCAATTCCATGTGATTCAATTTCACGCAATTCAATTCCATACGATTCAGTACCACTAAATTCAATTCTACGTGATTAAATTACCACACAATTTAATTTCAAGTAATTCAATTCCACGCAATTCAATTCCATATGCTTCAGTGCCACTAAATTCAATTCCACATGATTCAGTTACCACACAATTTAATTTCAAGCGATTCAATTCCATATCATTGAA